ATTGGGGTAGCATGGGCGGGCCGCAAAAGGCCTTGTTATTTTCGACTCCCATTTCGCTTCGGGAATAAGGTTATTGCTAACGCCATAATTTGACTACTATGGCCTATTATTTCTGACCCCTAATATGGGGTCGCAAAAGGCTTACTAAATTCCAACACGTAACACTATCGAAAATATGTGTGTTGTGACTCAAAACAACTTATTACCTACCCGTCTTTGACATCATAAAAGGTCAAAAAAAATTATTTTGAAAAAAAAAAAAAAAATTTGGTACCAACAATGCATTACAATTTTTTTAGAATTTATTTATTTTTTAATATACATGCAAAAGATACTTTCAATGGCAAAATTAAATATCATAAACAGTTTACAAATAAAGTAGAAGTATAGTTAAAGAAGATATAAACTATATCAAGTATTTATCCAACTCATAAGCCAAGAACAAAAAGGCTTAGAGAACACAAAGTTTAAAAAAAATCCAAACAAGTCTATCACAATTGTTTCCTATGGAGAGTTTGGTGGTGGAACATTGGTTTGAGAGACCAACTTTTTAGGATCATGCTTATCTTAGCTTCTAATCTTTGCTCTGTATTGGTCGGTCTCCATATCCTTGATCATTTCAATAGCATCAACATATTTCTTTTGCACTAGGACGGGCTGGCCTTTTACTCCATACCCCGAGCCACGAATATATTTGGGCCTCTTCCCAAGAACTTTAAAGAAGGCTTGTTTTTCCTTTCCAAGTCCATCTCCATCTAAAAGATCTAAAGCCTCCACTGTTGTAACTAGCTCCCCCTGCAACATTTGAAAGTTCTTTTAGCTCTGTTTTCCATAGTTGATGTCTTCACATTCATCAACTCAAAGAACAAATGGAATACATAACAGTGTATGATCACAGCATAAAGTCCACCATATGGAATACATAACTCAAAGATTAGCATGAGCAAATAAATATATAAAACACATTTCTTAAACAATATGCCTACGGAATAACGCTTAAAAAATATAAAAATACAATAACTTTTGCCAAATTAGACTATATATTTGATGCACTAAGAAACTCGACACCAACAATCAAACAAATAGAATTAAAAAAGAAAAAAAATGAAGATGCTTATAAAGTTTGCACTTAATTTCATAGTAAATGATCCAACAAAATATCACACATGATTTTCCATTAAGAAGCATAAACCTCAATGCTCTCATATTTCCCAATTTATATACTCTTACAGCAAGAGAGAAAAATCATCAATTTATCTCAATATTAAGTGATAATTTGTGCGAGCACAGTCAAAACTCATTCCTTCTCTTTAATTGGAAAGCACAAAATTCTTATACCAGTCCTTTCCAACTAACTTTTTCTATCCTCATCTTTCTCCTCTCTCTAGATCGCCTCCCATTCTTTTCCCTCTTTCCACACCAATCGGTACCAATCTATGAGCTTCAGTCTTAACTCAATGCATGGCTAAAAATAATAGTTGCTTTACTTGATGGACACTTGTGGGATGGATCTCTTTATCAATCCATCTCAGTTTTTAGATCGATCACTAACCAACTTTCCTCTACATATAGGTGGTACGTTTGGAAGCTGTCCTACATGAAATTATTGAGATCTGCTTGTTCTCTTTTATGTATCCAAATGTGGAGCTGCTGTTTTTTTTTTTTTTTTCCTCCTCTTAATCCAAATACGTGACCCTTAAAATTTGGTTTGGTTTCTGATTCTAACACATACATTACCTAATTTTTAAAACAAAAAACACATATATATAAATTCGCACCTCACAACCGAAAAAAAAACACACTATTTGTTAAGCATTCAGGTTTTGTAAGTTGGCAAAATATGCAAGAAAGGAAAAGAAAAAAAAGTTTGGTTCTTATATACAAAATCAAAATTGATTAGTACTTGCTCATTCATATTTTTATTTATTTATTCTTCTTCATTATTTTAAGTCAAAAAATGGATAAACACTTCTTGAAGTGTCAAATTATTCATTAAAAGTGTTCAAATTTACTTTTTGTGTTCCTTATTATGCCTTTATAGAAGTTCTACCTTTGCAATGCTAAAGAAATTCAACCCAAAAAAAAAAAAAAAATGGCAAGTATTAATGAATTGAAAAATAAATTTTTCATGAAAAAATTGATCTTTCCAAACAGAAAAAAAAGAAAATGTGATTTGCATATGTGAAAGAAAAAAAAAATTAAAAAATTAAAATAAAAGAAAAATTCATGGTATGAGGGGATTTCAAAAAGACTATCAAGCATGTGCAATCAGATTATCATTGTAATGCATGGTAAGAGATTTGATTTGCCAGAAATGCAGAGGTTGTTTGTACCTTGTAGATTCTGGAAGTTGACGAAGAAAACATCTTTGATTTATTTGAGTATACATATATCTTTAAATAAGATTTCCATTTGGATCCGGGTGGGAGATAATATTTGTCTTGTTATTTCTTGCACCATTGGCCTTGGAGAAGAAGGAAGAATTGTTGTCACCCACCCCAAACCATTTTATCATTAGACTCTTTCTCAAATTTTGGAATTAGCAAACCTACTAAAAACCAATTCTTGTGATCTCAAGTTAACATCATAGTGTCGACATTATGTTTAAATATTAATTTATTGTATGTTAACACTTTGAATAATTATTTTTTAAGAATTTATTTTTAATTTATTAAAAAATATATTGAATTAATAAGTTTTAAGTTTAGTCACTATTCATCTTTTCATGAGTTTAAGGTCACTATAAAGCAATTTTATTTAATTTTGATCACCAAAATCTAATTTTTCCTAAGTTATTCAATAAAAATAATATATATATATATATATTGGTTTTATCAGAAGAGACGGAGCAATATTACTCAAATTCTAACACTGTTTATAACTTGAATACAATTACATATAAAACTACCTACACACACATTACTCGTACACGCAATCAATTACACTGTGCAATATTGGTATAAACACATGCAAGTTCTTGTTTTGATCTTCAAACATTGAGATTAACATGACATCTAATAAATGAAAGGACATGTATACTGGAAACCAATTAGGCTTTTTTTATTGAAAAAATTATCTTTTTTTGTCAAGATAGAAGCCTAATTGGTTTCCATTATATATTTTATTTTGATTAATTAGGTGAATTAAAAGTGTGTGTTATCTTAAACTAGAGTTCTCGATGAGCACGGATGGTGTCCAGGGGTGCTCAATGTTATTTGAGGCCTTAGGCGAAAAAAATAAAGTGGTCTTTTAATTAAATCTACTCATATCTTTATGTCAGTATTATGCTAATTATTTGTTTTGTAATTTTTAAACCTATCACTAAATTTTTTCTAAATCCTAGTTCCGTTGTTAATTAATTGGCCATGTGCTTTCTAGTAGACATTTAACAATATAAATAAAAATTTTAAACAAAATATATAATTTTATGACAACAAAAATTAATAAAACTATAAACTAATTTAAGTTATAGAATAATAGAAACCGATTTCAATAATTTGGTATAATACTTCAATAAATTCTTTAATAGAATACTAGTGTATTCAAAATCTTATTACAGAGTGAGATTGTGAGATAAGGAGTAAGAAAAAAAGAGAAAATAAAAGTTAACAAGAGTCTTAGAAAAATATAGAAAGTTTCACCAATTTTCACTTAAATATATATTTAATATTTAGTGTGTCTATATATGCTGATGTAATAAGTGTGAGAGAGAGCAAAAAAAAAAAATTATAATAATACAAGGGCACACTCTGTATTTGTTGAGGTTTAATAATATAAGAAAATAAAATATTTAGGTAAGTTATAATATATAAAGAAAAAAAATTTGGGGACCCCTCAAAAAAAATATAAAGAATAAAAATCTTTTAGGTCAATTGTCAAATTTCTCTATACGTTAAAGGTTAATAATTAAAGGAAATACTATAATTATTTTAGAAAAATTATAATATATAAATAAATAAAAATTTATGAGCCTTCTTATTGGATGGGGCCTTAAGTAACCACCTACCTCGCTTAAGGCTTCAGCGGCCCTGGTGGTGAGGTGTTACAACTCTCAAAGTGTCTCAAAAAATAGAACTCCCTATAAAACAAAAGAAAGCTAATTTCGATTTCGTTTTCTGAAAAGATAGATATGGAACTAGGTATGATCTTCGATTTCTCTCAAATAAGCATTTATTATGTATACCATATACATGTCCTTTCATTTATTAGATGTCAGGTTAATCTAAATGTTTGAAGATCAAAACAAGAACTTGCATGTGTTTATACCAATATTGATTGCGTATACGAGTAATGTGGGTGTAGGTAGTTTTATATGTAACTGTATTCAAGTTCTAAACAGAGTTAGAATTTGGGTTTGGAGCGCCCTCCGATAGGGAAAAAGTTATTGGAATGTTTTCTTTATTATATTCAAAGTTTTTATTTTTATTTTTTTATTTTTTTTAAGTTAAAGTATAATCAAAGTTCTATACATGATTCAATTTTATTTTAGAAACACATACACTTGTGTGCCTCCGTTAAAACTCCAACTTTCAAACTCAACTATTGCTTATTTGATAATTTATTTTAGTATGTTCTAAAATTCTAAATTAGTGATTTCATTTTGATTGTCAATAATTTCCTGTATATTTAGATGATCTCCACACACAAATACACTCTTTTAATTCTCACACACAAAATACACTCTTATATGCATAGATTTGAATGGATTAGCCAGTGATACTGTATGTTTAGTACAATAGTTACAATTTTTTTTTTCCCTTGGATACTCTTTTGTGCCATGAAAAACAACCAAGAGAGTTTTCAATATACTTTGTTATGGAAAATTCTTTTTACACTGAGATTGGCCCTATGCCTAAACACACAAGATTATGTGGAACCAATAAAGGCATCGGTTTTCAGTTTTTAAAATAATTTTGGGATAATCAGAACAGGAAACAATTATCAATTTTTTCTTGAATCAAAAGGTACAAAATTTTCATGGCCACTCCAAAAGTAAAGGGATGAATATGTATCCGAATGCACGTACCGATGCATTCATTGGGATCCATGTGGGTCCTCTCCAAAAGCTTTCCAATGGTGTTAGTGAACTTACTGGTGGTCGTGCATGTGAGAAAGATTTTCTTACATTTTTAATACTTTGTCATCTGTTCAATTGAAGCGTACCTTTCTCAAGGTGCAGAATGCTTTCGACTCTGGTTGAGCCCTCATTTCCGAGTGGCTATCATAACTCTGTAAACAAACAAAACAAAAATAGGGCTCTATAAATTACATTCACTCTGATTTGTTGATTCAGGGGAAAGCAGAAAAGACACCAGCAGCATCCAGTTCCAACAATTCGACATTGTCACCGGCCATTCAGATCATTACTATAGTAGCTCTAAGCAGTCCCGTAAGGAAAAAGATGCCTTCATCAATCCAGACAATGCTGTCCACAAGAAGATCATGAAAGAGTGGAAAATTCTCGAGAAAGGTCTCCCCGAAACCATTTATGTACGAGTCTACGAGGACCGGATTAACCTGCTCCGAGCAGTGATAGTTGGTCCCTCTGGGACTCCCTACCACGACGGCCTCTTCTTCTTCGACATTGTCTTCCCTTCCAACTACCCACACTCTCCTCCAAAAGTACATTATCACGCACATGGCCTGAGGGTGAACCCGAACCTCTACGAAACGGGGTTCGTGTGCTTGAGCCTCATCAACACTTGGAATGGCAATGCGAAAGAAAGGTGGGACAGTTCTGCATCCACAATTCTTCAGGTTTTGGTTTCCATTCAAGGGCTTGTGCTTAATGAGGAACCCTACTTCAATGAGCCTGTCAATGCAGATTGCAAAAACAAAGATGTCAAAAACCAGATTGCAAAGTCTTTGGCTTATAAGGAAAATGTGTTCATTCTATCTTGCAAGACAATGCTTTACACATTGCAAAAGCCGCCCAAGCACTTCAGGGTTTTCATCAACGAACATTTTGGCCGGTGTAGGGATGCCATTTTGGGAGCTATTCAAGCCTACAGAGATGGTGTTGTGAGGGTTGGTCACTACCAACATGATGATGATGATGATGGGTGCTCTAGTTCATCTTCTAGGGTTCGCGTAACGAGTCATTTTGAGACTAATGCGAACAAGCTCTACTCGGAACTCAGGCAGGCCTTCGACAAGAAACTTGGAATGGCAGATGAGAATATTAATATTGTGGAGAAGGAAACTTCGAATGCTTCAAAGAAGCCTAAGTTAGAGGAAGAGCTGAAACATGGGACTTTTCACAAGGTCATTGGCGTATTGAAGAGCTTTTGGAATTAGTGAAGAATGCTGGAAAATAGAACGCGGATTTAATTTAATTTATGATCATCACCAAATTTTCAGCATAGGCAAGAATCTTGAGTCATCAATCAGCTTATTCAAGTTCTTATATATATATATATATATATATATATATATATATATATATATATATATATATATATATCTTTTTTTACACTAATAACTCATCAATCTCTCTTCTTCATTTTTATTTTCTGTGATGGAGCTTTAAATGAAATTTTCTTTATTTAGATTGCTAAGTATAATACTTAATTGATCTATAGAATCTAAAGATATATGAAAGCGTCAATCTTAATGAATGATAATCTTTTCATGCATTTTACGTTTTGAAACTTTACTAATCACATTAATCAAATATTGTAGTTGGTTTCTTGTGATTTTCTTGATACAAACAATGCAAATATTTGTATTTGAATTTGGTGCATAAAACACTGAAAAATTATATTTGTTGTGAGGAGTGCTACAAGAAACCTCATCCATCGTCTAAGAACTTAAAAGCCCTCATTTCTAACACAGCAAACCCAAAGTCTAAGCATGTAACCTTCTCTGCTCCCAAACTCTCATTCCAAGTCTCGATTCATTGATGATCATAACAATGTCCTTGCTGGTGTGGACCCGAGTAACATCCAAGCCATGGTGGACGAAATTTAAAGACTCAGAGTGTAGGTTGCTGAATTCAGAAGCAACTACAAATACTCTTATTTGCTTAAGGAAATATAATGGCTGAGGGAGCTTACTGAAAGAGGACTGGACAGCCAAAGAGCCATGAAAGCCCGTATCAACCAACTAAGTGACAGAATCATTGAGCTCAACCATGATCCTTACACTGATGATGATATTCCAAGTAGTCCTCTGCAACATCCTCCTCCCTAACAAGGCAGCACCGCCTCCCTCCTCCAGAACCACCAAGGTAACGGTCAGGAATCCAACTCTGCTACAGATTCTAACACAATCCCAAATTCAAATTCAAATCCCTTGAAATTAGGTAAGTCCTTACCTTACTTTATCTCCACTCCCCATACTTCACCTCATTTAGTATCACATAGGTCCTACTCTACGAACAAGTTTGACTCTCAAACACCTAACTTTAGCCACCCAAATCTCACCACTTCCAAAGAAAATATCCTCGACTTACTACCCCTTTACACAGTGGTCCACCAACCAACACCTCTCTTGCAGGAATTAACCAGATCTAATCAAAGACAAGTCTCATTCAAAACCTCAATCCTACCTTGAATACACCCACAAAACCAACCATAACCACAAGAACAAAACAGTCAACCTCACAAACATCACCCTTCAACACCAACAATCCCTCCTTGGCTGCCATTGTTTCCAAACCACCCCTAAAAATGACCTTGAACTACCATCAACATAACCACTTAGAGGAGACCATTTCTGCCCCTTCTGAGATTGAGGCTGCATGTCTTGAAGTAATGAATTGTAGGCTACTGGGATTCTTTGTTCATAAAAAGCTTCCATTTGGAATGGTTCAATCTATCTCCAAATCTCTCTGGCATAAATTGGGGCTAATCAAAGTAACAAGCTCTGCCAAGGGCTTATTTGAATTTCATTTCTCCTCCCCCAAGCAGTGTGATCATATCCTTGCTGAAGGACCATGGTTCTTTGCTGACAAACCATTAATTCTAAAGAAATGGGACTCTGATTCAACATGATCAACCACTATTTATCTATACCAATTTGGGTTAAGATCTTTGGGCTACCATTACACTAGTACTGGACCAGCTATGGACTAAGCTTTGTGGCTAGTGCCATTAGCAAACTGCTCTTTGTTGATGCCATCACTGAAGGTAGACTTAAGACAAGATTTGTAAGACTCTGTATTGAAATTGAAAGCACCTCAACTTTTCCAACCCCACTCAATTTTAAATTGCAGTCAAGGAAAACTATTAACCTCAGGTTTCAATACCAAAACATTCCCCACATCTGCCCGACATGCCATTCCTTTGGAAGCCATTCTCATCAACCAGCCAAACCCTCACCTAATTTTACTGAATGGCAAATGGTTCCCTTCTCAAATCATTCACAGTTAGAAAGCACACCTGTTTCACTACCATCATATAGTTATACATTACTTCACTGGCAAAGAGAAACTCATTATTGACCTTGCTCCACTTGGGCCATTGTCAACCTTTAAGTTATCCTATACAGTTCCTGTAGTTGAGGATAGAAGACTTCTCACAGTCAAATTTTGATGATGGCCCTGACTCTGAATCCAACCCACTTGCTGAAGAAAATGGAAAATCCAGTCAAGAAGAGACAGCCATTACCTCCAATAGGAAAATGAAGAAAAAACATAGGGGTTCAGGGAACAGCAAGAAGTGAATAATGTTCCTAAGTGGCAAATTCTTTAACAATATTAAATGGTACTAGCCATTTGGAACATTAGAAGCCTTAATAGCCTTGATAAGTAGAGAGAAGTCAAAGCTCTCATGAAGGACAACAAGGTCCAGGTAATGTCCATCATTGAAACAAAAATTAGCCTGCATAATGTGGAACTAGTTCACAAGTTTTTAGCCAGTTCATGGAACCTAGCCCACAACTACAACCATTCACCGGTTGGAAGAATATGGATCCTTTGGAACCAGAACACAATTGACCTGCCTGTAATCCACCAAACAAGGCAAATGATTCATTGTTCAGCCACCATTCTGAGCTCAAGAACTAAATTTTTTATCTCATTCATCTATGGAGCCAATGCTGCTGAAGAGAGGAAATCACTTTGAAGTGATATTTTAAGTCTTTCACCCACTTTATCTACATCTCCTTGGATCTTGGCTGGGGACTTCATTATCATTAGGTCACCACATAAGAATTTTGGGGGCTCTGATAAGGTCCTCAACCTATGATTGAGTTTAGAGAATGCTTACATAAGGCTAACCTAGAAAATCTCAAATTCACTGGCCTCCTCTTCTCATAGACTAATAAAAGCTTGGGGGTGGCCAATATTTCAAGAAAATTAGATAGAATGCTAACCAATGATGTATGGCACAGAACTTTTCCACTTTCAAGTTGCCATTTCCACCCCTATGGCATTTTTTATCACAGCCCAGCCATCATTACCTTAGGCACACCCAACTCTCAGAGGAAAACCCCTTTTAGGTTCTTTAATTGCTAGAGCAATCATAAGAATTTTTTAGCAATAGTGAAGGCTGCATGGGACACTCCAGTTTCAGGGCATAAAATGTTTCAAGTTGTCTTTAAACTCAAAATGCTCAAACACCCTATCAAGCAACAGTTGGCCACTTCCTACTCAGAAATCTCAGAGAAAGTGAAGATTGCAAAAAATGATCTCCATGCATGCCAATCAACCCTAAATTCTCTTCCCACAAACACCCAGATGAGATTGAAGGAAAATGAACTTTTATGCACCTACAAGAAGCTTAAGAAAGCTGAGGAGTCAACATTCAAGCAAAAATCCAGGATTCAATGGCTCAAGGCAGGTGATTCTAATACTTCATACTTCTTTAAATCCATGAATTCCAGATTCAACAAGAACAAGATCACTAGTATCTTGGATTCTAATGGCTATCTACTTGACACTGAAGTGCTAATCAAGCAAGAAGTAATAAGTTACTTCAAAGGCTCTTTAGGTTCCTCATCTCATAACTATCCTGGCCCTCAAGACCTCTCACCCTACATCAACCAAGCTATTAACCCTGATTACATTCCCTCACTCCTTGCAATACCATCCACTAAAGAAATCCATAAATGCATGTTCTCTATGAACAATGAAAAATCTCCTGGCCCTAATGGATACAATGTTATATTCTTTAAGCAAGCTTGGCCAATCATTGGATCTGCTGTTACTCAAGCTATTCAACAATTCTTCACTTTAGGCAAACTACTTTAGGAAATCAACAATTTATATATTTCCTTGGTCCCCAAAATTCCAAATCCTTCCTCAATGCAAGATTTCAGACCAATCTCATGCTGCTCTATATTGTATAAATGCATATCAAAGCTACTAGCCAACAAGATCAAACTAGTTCTACCATCTATTGTAAGTCAATCACAAGCAGCCTTTGTTTAGGGCAGAAGTATTGATGACAGTATTTTAATGGCCCAAGAGCTTTTCAATGGGTACCATAAGAGTTCTTATTTTTCTAGATGTGCTCTAAAGCTTGATTTGAGAAAAGGTTTTAACTCCATCTCATGGAGTTTTATTCTGGACACCCTAAAATTGTTTAGCTTCCTTTTTACATTTGTTAATTGGGTGCAGGCTTACATTACTTCCCCTTCATTTACCATTTCCCTCAATGGGGAGTTCAATGGATTTTTTAAGTGTGCTGAGGGACTTAGACAAGGGGACCCTTTTTCTCCCTTCCTTTTTTTAATTACAATACAGGTGTTCTCATCAATTCTAAACATGGCCACAACCACCAACACATTTAAATACCATTGGAGGTGCAGAGAGTTGAGTCTTACTCACTTGGTTTTTGCTGATAATGTCATGTTGTTCTGCCATGGAAGCCTTCCCTCTGTCCTAATCCTGCTCAATGCCATAGAAATCTTCACTAGCCTATCTGGACTCCAAATCAATCAACACAAGAGTAACATTTTTCTTGTTGGAATGAAGCTGCAATTCTCAACTTGGTTGGGTTTGAGAAAGGATCACTACCAATCAGATATCTTGGAGTCCCCCTTATCTCAACCATGCTTAAAGCAATAGACTGTAGGGCCCTCATAGACAAAATCATAGAAAGAAATAGGCACCGGACAAGCAAATTTTTATCCTTTGCAGGAAGACTCTAGCTTCTCAAATCCATCATCCATAGCACACAAATTTATTGGAGTTTCAAATCCATACTTCCAGTTTCTGTTATTAATGAATTGACTTGTATTTTTAGGTCATTTCTTTAGACAGGTCCAGAGCTCAAAAAACATGGAGAAAAAATCTTGTGGCCATCTGTTTGCTTACCAATTAGAGCTAATGGTCTGGGAATTCCTTCTCTTAGGCCTTAGAATAAGGTTGCAATCATGAAGCATCTGTGGAACATCATCAAGCAGAAGGAATGAATGCTTTGGGTCACTTGGGTTAATACATATCTTTTGAAAAGAAGAAACATTTGGAAGGTTCACATTTGTGACGGCCCAAGTTTTATAAACCCGGTGCGTCAGTGATGACCAAAAGATGATCCGTTAATGGATCCAAAATAAGAAAGCGAAAGGTGATCAAAGCGAAAGAAATAAAAGGTTCTGAGACATAGACGAGCACTTGTCCAATGCCAAAGCACCGAGGGCTCGTTTGGCACTCATCAAGGCTGAGTACCCGTTCGGCACTTATCAAGGTCGGTCGTTCTGACCTATATGGTCAGACGTTCTGACGGAAGGATCAAGCGTTCTGACTCACATGGTCAGGCATTCTGACCTACATGGTTAGGCACTCTGACGAAATGATCAAGTGTTCAGACTTGCATGGTCAGGCATTCTGACTTATATGGCTAAACGTTTTGACAAAAGGTTCAAGTGTTCGGATGAAAAGATTAAGCGTTCGGACTCACATGGTCAGGTGTTCTGACTTACATGGTCAGGCGCTCTGACAAAAGGATCAAGCGTTCGGACTTACATGGCAAGGCATTTGAACCTACATGGCCAAACGTTCTGACAAAAGGTTCAAGCGTTCGGACTTAAATGGTCTGGCGTTCTGACCTATATGGCCAAATGTTCTTACGAAAGGATTAAGCATTTGAACTTGAATGGTCAGGCGCTCTAACCTATATGGCCAAACGTTCTGACGAAAGGGTCAAGCGTTCCAACTTGAATGGTCAGGCGTTCTGACTGCCGAACGACAAAACAGAAGTCAACAATTTACCGAATGACAAAACAGAAACGAGAAAACAGCCGAACGAGAAAACAGTAAGCAAGTTTAAGGCAACCATGAGGCTATACACGCATTCCCAATTATCCAAAACAAGTTTAACAACATACTTGTGAAATTTTAAAACCAATGGCTCTTGGCCTCATGTTGTACATACAAAATATGCATCAAAAAGTGTCTTAGATACACATTACATATCAAGGAAGCCAGCTTAGCTTTTAAAATACCATAGAACATCCAAACATTTGCATGACATCCAAAAGTACAGCATACTAAACATTTGCATGACAATATATAAAAATGCTTCAAATTGCTCATAAGCCTCTAAGGATGATGAGCATCCGAGAACATAGTCTCCTTACCTCTAAAATAACCCAAACAACTAGGGTGAGTAATCAAATTACTCGTAGGAAGAAGCTTATGCGTATACCCTAAAGTTTCAATATCATTGCAAGATCAATATAGATGAATATAAGGGATCATTCCACTTAACGTCTATGTTCAAGGTGTTTTAAAAGAAGCAGTGGAAACCATTTGGTTCATGGCATGTCACCTATTTCTCTCACCCCAAATGAAATATACTGAAGCTGTGAGACATAACTTGAAAACATACGCCTCCGGAGCCTTGGTACCATCCTTCCACATAGACACTATCTAATTAGTGATCTCATATAAGTTGTAATCTCCAACATAGATACCACAGAGGTGTTGGAAAAACATCTATATCTCGGAATCAAATTTGCACTTGAAGAAGAGATGTTGGTGACTCTGAGCAACCGCAAGGTACGAAGAACAGTAATTTGGGGCAATTTTCTTTGCAAGTGCTGGTTGTCCCTTGTCTTGGGCTTGTGACTAAGCGCAACCCATGTAAATCGCACATAATGTGGTCATGTGTACCTAGACCTATCAGGGAACAACACCTATGTCCAGTTATCCATCCTAGGCAATATACGCACCCTAACCATGGTCCTGAAACTCAAGCTCATACCATGGCACCATTACATAAATATATAAAGTCTGTATACTCCAAATACAAAATATCATCCATCTGGTATAGTGGCTTGATATATGTATAACAATCCATCCAGTAGGTCATTCAATTATTTTATTGACATGACTCTAATATGAGCAGGACTTAAGGTAAGGCTTGCCTCAATCAAGTTAAGAAGGAGTGAAGACTTAAGGAGAGTTGACACAATGGAGGAGCTCCAACAGCTATTTCAGCAAGGTTGTGCTGTTTCCCTCTGACAGCATGACCATTTACTTTGAGGTTGTGCCTCAACCAAGCTAAGAAGTGAAGACTTAAAAGGAATTGGCCCATTGGAGGATTTCCAAACCCATTTGCAACTAATGGGTGTTTTCCCTGGTGGAAGAGAGGTGAGTGTCCAAGTGTTATTTGCTTCAAGGGCCTGAATTTTGGCTTGCATTGCATCTCTCCATTTGGGTTCATGTACAGCCTGTGAGAAATGTTGAGGTTCGCTTGCAGTAGAAATAGAAGCTATAAAAGCTTTATGTGCAGGAGAAAAACGATGGTAAGAAACAAAATGCTATTTTTTTCCATGTAGTGGCACTTCACCTTTATTTCATTATACATAATTAGTTTTTCAATTTCTGGAACATCAAGCCACGATTCATAAATTAAGAGTTTTCCACTACCACGCACTATGATGCCGAGTTCAGCTGTAAATACACCAGCATTATCCCCAGTGACCTTCATGTATTCTGGTTTGATTTCAACTGGAATAGGTCCTCCGTAAAAATCTTTAAGTTGCAGCTTCTTTTCATTTTTTGCAATTCCACGTCGTTTCACCCTAGTCGAAGCTGCACATGATTGGTACAACAGTCAATAAAAAATATATGAATATATAATGAAAAAAAGACGAACATAAGATGATATAAAGCAATTTCCATTTATTTCACTACACACGGACACAATCTCAGGTTGAAATATTGCCAATCGCGTTCGCCCACTTCAATGGTGATATATTGCCATGTAGGTAAAGAGAGATTCTTCTCACTTTTCGATAATACATTCTGAATTCTAACTGCTAAACAGCCTTACCAGCAACAAAAGCACCCTCACCAGATAAATCCCAACTATGGCATAGAATGATAGAAACATCTGGATAAAAAATGAAAGCATTTTTGATATATTGAACCCAACTACCAATGATAAATTGATGCAACCAGAAAATTAGTTTTCACAAACTCAGTAGAACATTACATCTCTACAATTAATTAAGTAAAACTTGGCAATTGTCATAGTCTAAATAAATACTAAGTAGAAGAATTCATAGGCATATTCTCTACTGATGACAGCCATAATCTAATTAATGATTCTATATTCTGTATAGAAGAAGCATAATGAAAGTTTTATGTGCATTGTAGAATAAACTTGAATATTAGTATATAGTTTACTATTAAGATGAGGTTCCCGAGGAAGCTGATATAAGAAATATATGTGATTAAGCATCAAGTTTCAAACTAGAATCCAGAAATTCTTTAAAGACATTAGAAGAATTTTTAGGCAATTTTCATCATAACAACCAATGTGAACCTTTCTCAATGAAAATATAGTTATCACATCCTAAGACTAGAACTCTTTTTCATTTCAAGATGAATAAGAGAACACAAACTACAAATTGAACCCTTACAATAATATACAAAACAAACAACAACGGGATGATGAAACCAATTCAAGGATTAAGTTCTAATATATGTTTTGCCAAAAAAGGTGTATATATAATATAATTGTCTCTCAAACAGGCGGCATCAACTAGGAATAACATTCCATTCTATGAATACAAATTGCATAAGAGGAACCATCTTGGCCAACATATATTATCAGTGTATGAATACAAATAGATGATACATCCCAAATTTTATGCATAAGAGGAACCATCTTGGCCAACATATATTATCAGTGTACTGCAATTCAAAAAAAGTAGAGAAAAAATATGGCTAGTTGCTGTGAGTGCACTTTTAAACAGAATATTTAAAAGCTAAACTAGTTGTTTTGTTGAAAGCAAAAA